TTAAGCTGAAACAGTTTCTTCTGGTGTTGGTTGGGGCTCTACTTTCTTAATTGGTTTAAGTTGAACAGTTTCTTCCTCTGTTGGTTTGGGTGTTGGTTTCTTAGGTGTTGGTTTAAGTTGTACAGTTTCTTCTGGTGTTGGTTTAGGCTCTACTTTCTTTACTGGTTTAAGCTGAACAGTTTCTTCTGGAGTTGGTTGGGGCTCTACTTTCTTAATTGGTTTAAGTTGAACAGTTTCTTCCTCTGTTGGTTTGGGTGTTGGTTTTTTAGGTGTTGGTTTAAGTTGAACAGTTTCTTCTTGTGTTGGTTTAGGCTCTACTCTCTTTACTGGTTTAAGCTGAACAGTTTCTTCTTCTTTTGGCTTAGGCTCTACTTTCTTAAATGGTTTAAGCTGGACTGTTTCTTCTTCAGTTTGTTTTGGTGTAAGTTTCTTAAGTGTTGGTTTAAGTTCAACAGTTTCTTCTTCTGGAGTTGGTTTGGGCTCTACTTTCTTAAATGGTTTAAGCTGGACTGTTTCTTCTTCAGTTTGTTTTGGTGTAAGTTTCTTAAGTGTTGGTTTAAGTTCAACAGTTTCTTCTTCTGGTGTTGGTTTGGGCTCTACTTTCTTAAATGGTTTAAGCTGAACTGTTTCTTCTTCAGTTTGTTTTGGTGTAAGTTTCTTAAGTGTTGGTTTAAGTTCAACAGTTTCTTCTTCTGGTGTTGGTTTGGGCTCTACTTTCTTTAGTGTAGGTTTAAGTTGAACTGTTTCCTCTTCTTTTGGTTTTGGTGTTGGTTTCTTTGGTGTTGGTTTAAGCTCAACAGTTTCTTCTTCTGGTGTTGGTTTGGGCTCAAATTTCTTTAGTGTTGGTTTATGTTCTGGTTCAGGTGTTGGTTTGGTTTCAATTTTCTTTGGTACTGGTTTAAGTTCAACTGTTTCTCCTTCTGTTGGTTTTGGTGTTGGTCTAGGTTCTAATTTCTTTAGTGTTGGTTTAGTTTCTTCTGGCTGTGGTGTTGGTTTAGGTTCAACTTTCTTTAATGTTGGTTTGAGTTGAACAGTTTCTTCTTCTGCTGGTTTTGGTGTTGGTTTCTTTAGTGTTGGTTTAAGTTCAACAGTTTCTTCTTCTGGTGTTGGTTTGGGTTCTGCTTTCTTTAGTGTAGGTTTAAGCTGAACTGTTTCTTCTGCTGTTGGTTCTGGTGTTGGTTTTGGTTGTACTTTCTTTAGTGTTTGTTTTATTTCTTCTGGTTTTGGTGTTGGTTTCTTTAATGTAGGTTTAAGTTCAACAGTTTCTTCTTCTTCTGGTTTTGGTGTTGGTTTTGGATGAACTGGTTTTAGTTTAGGCTTAGGTTCAGTTGGTTCTTCCTCAACAACTTGCTTTGGTTTCACCTCAGCTGGCTTTGGTGTTGGCTTGGATTCTGTGGGTGTTGGTGTAGGTTTAAGTTTCTCAACTTTTAGCATTACTTTTTCGTCTGTTATCTTTGGAGTACTGGGTTGTAGTGTCTCGAAAACTGGTGTTATTTCGGGTTTTTGCTCTACCAGATCAGGTGTAGGCTTCTGTTGTGTTGAAATAGGTATTGGCTTTTGTTCTATTGGTGCAGGTGTTGGTTTCTGTTGTGCTGGAACAGGTGTTTTTTGCTCTACTGGAGCAGGTGTTGGTTTTTCCTCTACTGCAGGTGTTGGTTTCTGTTGTGCTGGAGCAGGTGTTGGCATTTGCTCTACTAGAGTTTGTGTTGGTTTTAATTGTGCTGGAACGGGTGTTGGTTTCTGTTGTGCTGGAGCAGGTGTTGGGGTTTGCTCTACTGGAGCAGGTGTTGGTTTCTGTTGTGCTGGAGCAGGTGTTGGGGTTTGCTCTACTGGAGCAGGTGTTGGTTTCTGTTGTGCTGGAACAGGTGTTGGTTTCAGTTGTGCTCGAACAGATCTTGGTTTTTGCTCTACTGAAGCAGGTGTTGGTTTCTGTTGTGCTGGAACAGGTGTTAGTGTTTGCTCTACTGGAACAGATGTTTTTTCCTCTACTGCAGGTGTTGGTTCCGTTTGTGCTGGAATAGGTGTCGGTTTCAATTGTGCTGGAGCAGGTGTTGGTTTTTGCTCTACTGGAGCAGGTGTTGGTTTCTGTTGTGCTGGAGCAGGTGTTGGTTTTTGCTCTACTGGAGCAGGTATTGGTTTCTGTTGTGCTGGAGCAGGTGTTGGTTTTTGCTCTACTGGAGCTGGTGTTGGTTTCTGTTGTGCTGGAGCAGGTGTTGGTTTTTGCTCTATTGGAGTTTGTGTTGGTTTTATTTGTGTTGGAACAGGTGTTGGTTTCTGTTGTGCTGGAGCAGGTGTTGGGGTTTGCTCTACTGGAGCAGGTGTTGGTTTCTGTTGTCCTGGAACAGGTGTTGGTTTCTGTTGTGCTGGAGCAGGTGTTGATTTTAGTTCTACTGGAGCAGATGTTGGTTTCTGTTGTAATGGAACAGGTGTTGGTTTTTGCTCTACTGGAGCAGGTGTAGGCCTTTGTTGTGCTGGAGCAGGTGTTGGTTTTTCATCTACTGCAGGTGTTGAATCCGTTTGTGCTGGAATAGGTGTCAGTTTCAATTGTGCTGGAGCAAGCGTTGGTTTTTGCTCTACTGGCGCAAGTGTTGGTTTTTTGTTGTGCTGGAGCAGGTGTTGGTTTTTGCTCTACTGGAGCTGGTGTTGGTTTCTGTTGTGCTGGAATAGGTGTTGGTTTCTGTTGTGCTGGAGCAGGTGTTGGTTTTTGCTCTACTGGAGCAAGTGTTGGTTTCTGTTGTGCTGGAGCAGGTGTTAGTTTTTGCTCTACTGGAGCAAGTGTTGGTTTCTGTTGTGCTGGAGCAGGTGTTGGTTTCTGTTGTGCTGGAGCAGGTGTTGGTTTTTGCTCTACTGGAGCAAGTGTTGGTTTCTGTTGTGCTGGAGCAGGTGTTAGTTTTTTGCTCTACTGGAGCAAGTGTTGGTTTCTGTTGTGCTGGAGCAGGTGTTGGTTTCTGTTGTGCTGAAGCAGGTGTTGGTTTTTGCTCTACTGGAGTAGGTGTTGATTTCTGTTGTGCTGGAGCAGGTGTTGGTTTTTGCTCTACTGGAGCAAGTGTTGGTTTCTGATGTGCTGAAGCAGGTGTTGGTTTTTGCTCTACTGGAGCAGGTGTTAGTGTTTGATTTACTGGAGTTTGTGTTGGTTTCTGTTGTGCTGGAACAGGTGTTGGTTTTTGCTCTACTGAAACAGATATTGGTTTTTCCTCTAGTGCAGGTGTTGGTTCCTGTTGTGCTGGAATAGGTGTTGGTTTCAAATGTGTTGGAGCAGGCATTTGTTTTTGCTCTACTGGAGCAAGTGTTGGTCTCTGTTGTGCCAGAGCGAGTGTTAGTTTTTGTTCTATTGGAGCAGATGTTGGTTTCTCTTGTGTTGGAATAAGTGCTGGTTTTATCTCTACTGGAGCAGATGTTGGTTTCTGCTGTGATGAAATAGGTGTTGGTTTCTGTTGTGCTGAAGTGGGTGTTGTTTTTTGCTCTACTGGAACAGGTGTTGGTTCCTGCTGTGCTGGAGCAGGTGCTGGTCTTTGCTCTACTTGAGCAGGTGTTGGTTTCAGTTGTGCTGGAGTAGGTGTTGGTTTTTGCTCTACTGGAGCTGGTGTTGGTTTCTGGTGTGCTGAAATAGGTGTTGATTTCAATTGTGCTGGAGCAGATGTTGGTTTCTGCTCTACTGAAACAAGCTCTGGTGTATGCTCTACTTGAGTAGGTGTTGGTTTCAGTTGTGTTGATTTATGTGTTAGTTTTTGCTCTACTAGAGCAGGTTTTGGTTTCTGTTGTGCTGTTAGGTTTTCTTCTACTGGAATGAGTGTTGGTCTTTCCTCTACTGGAGCAAGTGTTGGTTTCTGTTGCTCTAGAATGAACGTTTTTTGCTCTACTGAAAGAGGTGTTGCTTTCAGTTGTAAAGGAGCAGGTTTCTGCTGTGCTGGAAGTGTTTTCTCATTTACTACAAGTGTTGGTTCCTGTTGTGCTGAAGCAAGTGTTGGTGTTTGCTCTACTGGAGTGAATGTAGGTTTTTCCTCGACTGAATGTGTTGGTTTCAATTGTGCTGGAGCAAGTGTTGTTTTATGCTCTGCTGGAATGGGTGTAGATTTTTGCTCTATTATAGTATGTGTTGCTTTCTGTTCTGGAGCAGGTTTTAGTTCTGGCTCCACTTGAGTAGGTGTCAGATTATGCCCTATCAGAACAGGTGTTGGTGTTTGTTCTCCTGAAGCAGGTGTTGGCTTTTGATCTGTTGGAGCAAGTGTTTGTTTCAGTTGTATTGTAATAACAGTTGATTTTGGTTGTGTTGTAAATCTTAGTTGGTGATTTGATCCTTTTTTACTTTGCGTAGCAGGTGTTACTTTTTGTTGTGCTGAAACATGTGTATGTTAGTTCTGATGGAGTTGTTAGTTTCAGTTGTAATAGATCATGTGCTGTTTGCTCTGATGAGGCAAATAGCTGTGAGACAGATGGTATTTGTTTTTGATCTACTGATGCAAGCTTTGAAACAGGTGTAAGTAATTGCTCTGATGGGACAGGTGTAAGTATCAGTACTGTACTGGCTAAATTTTGCTGTGATGAGGCAAATAGCTGTGTGGTGATAGTTTTTGCTCTAATGTTACAAGTCCTGATGTCTGCTGTGCTATAGTATTTGTTTTTTGCTCTGCTGGTGTAGGTCTTTGTTCTTTTAGGACAGGTGTTGGGTTTTGTTGTGTATGAGCAGGTTTATGTTCTGTTAGGGCAGGTATTAGTTTTAGTTGTGTTGGAGCAGGTGTAGGCTGTTGCTCTGTTGAAGCATATATTGCTTGTGGTTGTGTTGGTGTTTCGTTTTGGTTGGAGTATTTGATGGTGTCAGCCGCACTTGAGCAGTTGTTGTGTTTTGCTCTGTTGTGAAATGTGTTGTGCTATACCAAACCAGGCATTGTTGCTAGGACATATTTTAGTGTTTTATCTATTGGAGTCGTGTGCTATACCAAACCAGGCATTGTTTTTGTTGTATGTGGAAGAGGTGTCTGATTTTGTTCTTAAGGTGGAGTTCCAATTCTGTTTTCAATAAGAGAGAGTTTTTTGTTATATAATATTTTTTGTTTTTTGTTTTTGTTCTGCTAAGCACCTGTTGTGTTTTATCCTGTTATGGGTGTGTGCTGGTATCATATTTTAGTATACTGATCAAACCAATGCTTATATGAATTGTGTGCTGTTGTCAAATGTACAGACAATTCTGACTGAGCTGGCTTGATATCTTTCAATACACTCTGTGTTTATGTGGAATTGCTTTTTTATCATTAGGGATTTGAATTGATTGTATATTAATATTTAAGGAATTAAGGAATCACATATTGAATTTACTAAAAGAAAACTCACTTGTATGAAATGACATGGAGGAAAGTTTTAAAGCTGATATTGAAAAAAAAATATGCAGCATAACATACATTTATGAAAATTTCAACTGCCATCTGAAAAATTATAAATCCAACCATCTTCATTGGTAATGAATAGTAAGTTTTGCCATTTTGAAATAAGAAAAAAATATTCTAATTCTTTTTGGTTTTAGCAGACAGTCCTTGGAAAAGACTGTTGGAATAAATTCCAAATTATTCATTGGTACTGAATGAAGAATATCATGCAATCTATTTTCTGAAATCATTTAAGTTTCATTTTCATATATATCAGATGTTGTGATGATAACTTCTTTATACCAATACTTCATAAAGTTTGATCAAATATTTTTTTTCAGACCAATGTATCAGTTAAATCCTGTAGCATAATAGATCTTCAAAAAACAAATTAATTACCAAAGAAAATCTTGGTTCAGTTATTTACAGAAGCAAATCAATTGTCTCCACTGATATTTCAAATGAGTGAGGTTCATAACAAATAGGTATATTAAATATGAATTGATAAATAATATAATTTAATATGATACACTGCTTATTACTTTTGCTATTTAAGGGAAAACATTAGATATCCATCATTTTGGGTGGACTGCAAGCAAACTCCTTCAGATGCATGCTAGTGTATTTGATATCACCGTGTTGGACTACTTGTTTGCATGTTTTAAAAGTATCAATAGTACACAGTGTAAGTGTAAGAGTAGGAATGTTTTGATGTTTATCATGAATATGTATACACTACTAGAATAAGGTATTTAAACTATGTTTGCTGTAAAAAATGTCAACAAGAAAGAAGGCATAATCTTCATAAAAGAAATTGTTTGTACAGTATAATAAACTGAGTAGGAATTAATAATTAGTAACTGTATTTTAATCACAAGCTGTATGGTCAGTAAAAGAGAAATAAAAATCCTGTAATACTACATTAACCAAAGTAATGTAAATTCTTTCAGGTACATTCTTTAATATCATCTCAATATAGTAATTAATTGTGCAAATGTACGGAAAAAAAACTATAATAATGATGTGTATAGATAAAACTGTTCTCTGTATCACTGTGTAAGAATTAATCTCAAAAGGAATTTATATGGTTAAAAAAAAAAGAAAAAGAAAGAAGGGCTTAATATTAATGTTAATTACCACAACTGCTGAGATGCTCTCCTGTACAGCCTCTGTCAGTCTACAGACTTTTGGAATATTAAATATGTCAATATATTTCCCAGAGTTTATAAAAGGGATTTGAGAAATAGCAGCTTAAAAGAAAATGAAAAGGAATGTTTATAATTAAATGTAGAGAAGGACGAAAGAAAAATCGCTAAGCTGGCCTTACCTGTCCTGACTTCAGATACCTCAGCCATCTTCATCTCCTGCTCATGAATGACTTCCCAGGCCTGTTCTGCCAGCACCCTCTCTGTTTGGATCAGGTGGGTAGCCAAGGTCAGTCTTTACTTCCTTGAAATCCTGCACAGTCCTCCTTACACTTGAAACTTGAAGCTAACTACACTACTAATAACTCTAATATGCAACAACAACCATTCCTTCTACAGTTTATGTTGATGTTTGCCTTGTTTGTAGGCATGTATGTAACTGGTGAAAATCTAAGAGGGTATACTGTACTTTATGCCTGAAAATTTTACATTTTGGAGAGTTCTTTGTAATGTGCTATGAAATCTTCCCTATTCATTTAAATACTCATGTACTGTAAATCCTGGCATCAAAATGTTATAAAATTTGGTCTTCTTAAAATTCAAAATGTATGTAGAATGCACTGTCATTGGATATGTACTTTGAGTCTCTCAACTGGTCTTAATATTTGAGAGCTCAGTGAATCTACATTTCAGTTTACTATAATAAACATGAAACACATAGCTAAATGATGACTGCACTTTTCTATGACTTAAACAAATGGTCCTTACCATAAGCCTTAACAACAAAGTTAGATATAACGTACCATCCTTAGCATCACGATAAGCCTCTTCAACCAGCACCTGAGCCACCATGACAGAATGGCCATGCTTCTCCACAATGTTGACAAGAGGTTGCTGGGTCTCAGGCTTCTTCAGTGTTGGTAGTTTACCAGCCACACATGATGCTATGATTTCCTCGGTCTGGATGCCCTTGTTCAACATCTGTGATACTTCGG